TCGGGCAGCACGTTGTCCCTTTGGCTCTGCATTTCAATATGCACACTTACTTGTCACATCCTCCGTAAAGGTTTTAGGAATGTATTATGCGCTATGCAGCTGCAATGCAGGAAGGGATTTTCCGGTGATAGGCGAAGCATTCTGCCTGGACATGCATATATATAGCTTCATCAACGTGTTATTGGTTTACTGATACACATCCCGGTTTCCTCTCCGTCTTCTACCATTATTCACGTCGGTTGTGGGCGAACCCATTATTGTCACTACTAACTTCTTCAAATTTGGTAATACCAGTGGTATCCACAAGTCTGGATATTCGCACCGGCTGTCTGGGACGAGTTCGTGACATGTGCATTTGCGATTTTCTTCGTCTCTTAGGTAGTCTTAAAGATAATACATTCACCTTTTCCCCACAGTGCGTGCACAGAGGCGCATCAATTCAATTTTGAACTCAACAACGCATTTTTGATAAACATAAACGCTTTCCACACCGTTCACTTTGTTTGACACATTTATTAAATCACGCTAATTTTGGCATGAATGTGACATCTCTACCCGTGCTCTCTCCGTTTCCCTTCTTCAATGTATTGTGAATAAATGAACACATGAGAAGTGGGTAAACAGCAAACGATGATCACTAAGCCGAATCACGTTGGATATTAACCTACAGAAGTGACTATAATAAGTTAAGTAGTATGGTCAGTTATACATGCAGTTTGCTTTATCACAGTAATTTACGCATCCCCGTGAGATTGTAATGCACAATGGCACATTTTATGCTAATACTAACTAACCCCTGTCACTGGAACAAACTGCTTAACTGTTGCATCTTGACAGTAGGTATACTAAAGCAGTCCTATCCAAGACTACTAGAGTCAGCAAGTTAGAACCAAATGCTCCACATTTACTGCGCTGGGCGGAGCAAGCTGCGTGCCACATGCTTACTGTACGATGCCTTTTTTAGTAAATGGACAGTTAGGACCCGCCACTTTCTGGGACTACTTTGTTTGGTATTCGCCGAACGATAAAACTTTTGTGCTACGGTGGGAACCTGAGGATTTACAGAAAGTTGGCGTAGATGAAATCGAAATGACTGTGACACCAAGCTCTGGAACTGGGCAACCCCTGCATGAAAAAGTGAATATCGCAACTAAATTAATCCGATTTACCAACATTCTGCTCAGCTCAGGATTCGAAATTAGCATGCAAGCACTTCGGAATGAGACTCGTGTCATACGACACATAGTAAGGCTTAAAACATACAAGACTGGTAAGTTCTATTTATAATAGATGGATTTTATTTCGCTATATCGTTTTCAAAGCTGAGTCAGTAGGATGGATGGAATGTGAGAGTGTAGATGCAGGCAACGGATCCTTGCTGTTTATATCGATATCACGGCGTTTCTCACCACAGGCATTGCGTAGGGTTACGCCATCAAAGTCGAAGCTCTTTATATTACAACTTAAAAATACCTTATAATTTCCATGTCGCTAGTCGCTAACATCAGTCAGTGCTCCATCACATGTTTGTGGACAGTGGGGCCGAAGCGTATTGGACGACACGCTTAAAACAGAAGTGGCCTTAGCCCACTCATCCCAATGGGATGCTCAAGCATGCCATTGGATGTACGCATTCCCATAAATGCGTGAATGAAAATGATCATTTGAGTCAAATGTCCGAATGTGCGGAATCGCAGACTCTTATCCCTACTGGATCACGCATGTTGAATGTTTTCACTATGCTTGTCTTCAAGTTGCGTCCTCATCCCACTACTACTATTGTCACTATGTTCGGAGGAAATGCTAGAGAAATCTGGGGTTAAGTGAAATGGAGTGACCGCAACACACATGCTGCGCAATCCATCATTCGTATTCCCTGTAGCGACACAGACAAAAGTGGCAAGGACAGAAACATTCCTGCCTTTGTCACGTGCAGTTTCAGACTATCCAATTAAGCTGTGATGTCCAAAAGATTGGCTCAACTGCACGAAGACCGGACCCAACTGACGGAAGCGTCAGTTTACTACTCTGGCTTTTACATGTGTAAGGTTGCGCATTCTCCACTTGGAGAAGTCATCCACAATAGACGAAAGTTCGACTGCCTGTGCGAATTGACTGTGCAGGTAGTGAGGGATGAAGTTGCCAGTTCTGATTGCCGTGAGTACAGTGAAGCACCGCCAAGTGGTAGCATAGTGCCAGTGATTATGCTGCGCAACTACACATGGAAGGATGCCACTTACTAACTCCTATTTGTATTGGCATGTCCTGCGTCATAAGATGGGGAACGCATTGATCAAACCACAATAAGTCCATCGTCAATGCGCATCATTCCACAGTATATAATAGAGCCACATCCATCTATTATGTGATATCATTGAAAGCATTCGTTGTGTGTAGGGGACAAAGAAAGTGCCATCTCCACCAGCAGATCTGCCTTCACTTCTGCAATCTATTGAGTACTATCTGCTTGCATCACGGTGGTCCATGCTTGAACTCTCTTGTAGCTCTGTGAAAATTACTCACTGTTTTATTCAAATGCATCGCATTTTGAGGTTGTCCAACTGATCTCCTCCACTGCAGGTTAACAATGCAGCAGAGGATGCACCAGTCGCCAATCACTCGTCTTCACCTAAAAATAACATGCCTTTTATAGCGGATGTGTGTTTATTTAATAATACAAAACTTTGGCACTTTCATTCGATTGTCTCGATTTGAAATGGATTTACTCGTGTGAGCAATATGGGAAAAAACGTCTCAACTTCAAATGCTTCGACTTATTACTGGGCTTCCCTTTTCCCTACAAAGGTGGTCCCATGCCCACATTCAGCATTCGTTCTCCCAAAAGTAATACATCATCGCCAAAGTCAATGTTCTCTCCAATTTGAGTGTCTGCACACTACTTGCAATGAAAGCAAAATGTAAGGTCTTTCGAAGTAGGACGACTGAGCGCACAAGGGGATGGGTCACGCTGAACAAGTTGTCAAGTCACTGTCTGACACCAACTGAAAGCAGAGTAATTTAATGCAGAAGCATGAAAGTGTTAGTGCTAAATTTAAGGCTGCTTAAGAGATCTAGACAACATGCTTGTCTTCCCCAATAGGCAGCGGTTAAATGAGTGTGTGAGATGAATGATGGCTTTCCACTTTCATTTCGGCATCCCAGTGTGCAACATTTAGCAGCCTACAAGCATCAAGAAGGAGGATATGATGTGGTGGCAAATGCAGGAAATTGGGGCACTCGAGTAGGCAGTAGTGGCACAATTTCCACATGTGGAATATTCAAATGTGGTAGCAGCTATTTTGCGCCCTACTTCTCAAGTGTAAGTAGGCGTTAAGAAATGTTTGCATTTCAATCGGAGAGATGGTATTTAATTATCACAATGTTCTAGGTATCATGAGAGTGCCATAATAGTTGTGTTTAGTGAAGAGGTAATGCCAAACTGCCCTTCATACAGTCAAACGGGGAAAAATCCTTCATACATTCGCCTGTATTTGTTCACCGCTTGGCCTAGCCTCTTTGACCCCCATCGGCCTTAAGCCCTTCTGTTTATCCACAATACATATTCTGCCTGATTATTATGTCCTCTTTTTTTCTTTGGGAAAATCTCGGGACTCTGGAAAATTGTGTTGACAATAATAGTCCTAGAATGCGTGGTAACCTTGTGATAATCACTAAATTACATATGGACATAATCTTCATTATTTTTAAAAGGTTGTGTTTTCAGAGCATTTTGTAAAGCATAGCTCACATAATATATTGAATGAGGAATGGAAGTTTTTGGCTTATCAGAACATATCATTACTGAATTATCAAGCGATTGAGGTAATAAACAAGGAAAATTGACAATCTTATATCATGGTTTTGACAGCAGTAATAACTGGTTTGGGTTCCGATCCCACAGCATTGTCCCCGTTGATACAAATTTACTTCACTATATTTACATTTGCATAAATAAAAATATATTTATATTCAAATACATTTATATTTAATTTTTCCAGATATTTAGTCCCATAAGGAAATTTGTCCCATGACCCAAACATTTCTTTTTTTCCACTGCATAAATTAAGCTTTGCTGCTTTTATTGCTGCTAGTTCATTGTGAGCCTTGTGTCTCTCGTTCTTAAAAGCGCGGTGTTTTTGAAACTTCCCATTGAGTACAGTGAAATAGCTCCCTGAATGGACCCTCCGGTTACTTAATTCGGCCGCCATGCGTAGATGGGCTGCTTTACGCTTGCTCCGTTTAGACGGTCTATAAATATCCATTTTCCTCCATTTTTACCCCTCTAAACCAAAACATTTAATTCAATATCATCCTTGCAATAAAGTCTTGATTATATATGCATTTTGGAAATGGCAAGGAGACAGGCTGGATCAATCTCGTGACTGAGACGGTGTCATCGATGTCCGAGGAGATAATCACTGATCGCCCCATAAAACTCTGATTGTTTGTGAAATCCAAATTATAGCAGCACATGATATTTTCCTCTAAATCATTTTTTCGAGCCATTTGATTGCACAGGCACCTAAGTTACCACAGATTATGCTTCTGCTGGGTAGCATGACCTCCAGAAAGGGCGATTCCCACTGAAGAAAGAACCGAAACATTTTCTAACAGGAGGATCGAAAATTACGTCCGTCTTCGGCAACCACCACAATCTCGCTTTCTACGAGGATGCTATTAACAAATAAGGTGACACTTGCTGTGTACTATCTCTAAAAGCTCGTTACCGATCTCTCTAAGTACTCATATAAAGATGCCAACTAAATAAACGCGTGATGCCTTATACACTTCCCTAACAGTTGAATAGAATCCAGATAGGTATATTGATGAATAGCACTGAAGTGAGAACAAGTTAGCAAGGAGAAGTGGACGCTAAACGTTATCCACATTAAACCTCTTCAAATCCCGCCTATAGTCAGATTATTCTACTCTTAGGCCAGCGTTCCTACGACCAACAATAGAAGTACGAAAGGGACTCGCTGTAGAGCATCATCCAGTCTCCAGCAGTAAGACGACAACGCATTTTCTCTTTCTCCATTACAGTCCCTAAACAGAACAAAACGCCAGATGCCTACCTAGTGGAATTTCTGACATACGTCAGTAACTTTTAGAGCCAATGTCCTCTCACTTGCAAGTAAACTCGATGACTGGTGCGGTTGGTTCGTTAATGGTTTTTATTTAAAGGACAGACTAAGTTGTAATGTCCGACACGAGAATTGGACAAAGAGGAGCCTTGGGGACCCTACTCAAGAGAAGTGAAGGGCAGTGAAATGTTTTGATAGTTCGTTTAACTCTGTGTTTGTTTAGGCGGGCAATTAAGACTTTAAAGATGGTGCTTTCGCTTTCCCCTTTAACCTTCTCTATGTCAACAAAATTCTTCTCTTTTCCAATATGGCTTCAGACGGATTTGGGAAAGACTCGGAGCGCCATCGGTACAAAATTGGGGGCAGAAGAATAAAGCAAGGTAAATGAAAATCCCTAACCATTTTTAATGTAATGATGTGAGCCTATTTATCGTTATAAGAGAGCAGAATTGCAAATTCTAAATAAGATGAGGTGCATGTGAAATTTATGAACAGCATGATGATGCTGGCCGAGGGCTAACCTTTTTTTATCTCTAGCCCAACATTTGATTGGTTGATTCTCCAGGTCAGCATTGATAAGGACGAAATCCTATTTTTAACAGATACTAGAGGACCGATGATGACGGACTCAGATTGGGATGCTCCAACTTTAATTATTTAAAAGAAAGAAGTATGCCTAACTTAACTCATGACCAACACTTTGATGCTACCCAACTCAGGGCACCTGCTATCCTTCATTCAAGTAGATGCTTAGAACGGATGTAATTCTGCGCACGAATAAACAAACAAAAAAGGCTAGGTACCAGTAAGGGACTCTGGTAGTTTTCTGCAGGTCTTTCACATTTCCTGAGAAATATTGTTATTTTACGGATGAACCAATCAACAGTCTGTTTAAAATGTTGCAACTTCTGCGGCCAATTACACGTTCTTCTATTTTTATACTTATTCCCCGCATTATTTTCACATTGTAGTTAAAATGCAAAATAAAGCTGTTTCATGATTTAGCAGGTTTAGGTTTATTTACTCGACTCCATTTGCCACTGATCCCCCAAGCAAGCTCTTAATTTTTTAAATTTAAATTTATGCTCTCTTACTAAGCTCCTTGAAATGCAAACTAGAGTATACTTGAAAAGCTCCCTAACCTATGGTAGACTCTACAGCCCTTTGTGATTTCTTAACCTTAAGTCCCTTCTTTAGACCTTTCGGTAGATAAGTCCATCTGTACTGGTCGCTTAGTATCCTTCATCAACTAATCTGGAAAAACGCGACTTTACTGCGGTTTTACTCCTTGTCCACGTTCAACAGAGGCGCTTCCGATCCATTTGCCATATCTAGTCTATGCACGCATCCAGCGTTTCCACTGCCTATTTTGAAGTACTAAAGGATCGGAAACACATTCTGTCTTCACCACCATCCATTCCATATGTTAAGAGTGCAACGGAAAAAACCCTGCAAACAATTTGAATGATTTGCACCCTTTTTAAATCAGTTGAATTACTCAAAAAAGCTATTCATCCACATTTCCCAAGACACGGACAGAAGTAGTGCTTTTACTATATCTAATAACAAAGCGATATGAATGCAGAAACGCAGTCAAATGGACGATTACAAACAAAGTTTTTTGGACTCCTTCGAGCCCTGCACATTTTGTTCCTCGGAGCCCTCTGAGATGTTTTGAAAACCCAACCTGTTGGAAATGCGCAGAGAAGTAGCAGAAGATGCCAGCGCTGAGGCCCACCCTCTTGCGGAAGTGGAAGGGACGACAGAGGTGATGATATTGGAACCAGCCCTCACACCAGAAAGTATCCTGTTGGAGAGGAAAGAGGTCTTTGGGGTGCTGGAGTTGGTGGAATCCGTAGAACCGCCACCTAAGTGCTGCTGTTCATTCAGACGACTAAGAATTTCTGTGTGATTGGTCTCTAGTACGATTCCACCGCAAATAAGTTCGTTGAGAAGATAATGTACCTACAGCAAGCAAGTCAGATCATGGAAATGAAAGTGGAAAATCGTTAAGCCACCCACCTTATCAGCATTAAAGATAAGATCCAATTCACAGACATTTTCAAAAGTTTTGTCCAACAAATCAACAAATACTTGGATGAGATCTAGTATGCCCAATTCACTCTCAGAGAGGTCCACACAGAAAACTATGTAAATGGTGGAGTATTGTCTGTAGATTATCCTCTGTGAATTATGTACTCTATTAAAAGTATTCAAAACGCATAAAAACAAACGTTGGGGCTTCGAGGAAATTGCAAGAGCTGTTGGTCCGCCTATGAAGAAGAGAATATGTTTCTCGGAGAAACTCTTGTTTCTGACTTTCGCTCTTAAAAATTTGCCACAAATGACATATGAAAAACTTACAGTTTCATCATAAAATTTAATGAGTCGTGGTTTTCCACTGGTATTGCAAATAACTACGGCCTTTATCATTAAACCACACCGGCATCTACGGATCCGAATCGTGGGCGCGAGCTAAGGTCATTAAATTCATTATTTCAGTTCACTTAAAATCACAGAGGCCATAAGCAGTGCTTTCGGTGAGAAAAAAGCACTTTCGTTGTGTAATGTTGCCTTAAAAATACCAGTTTAGGTGTTTTACCTGCAAAAAAATTATCTTTTTCGAATTTTCGAATTGCTTTTTCTTTTTACCCATTATTAAAAACGAAGGGTATGATCTTTATAAGAGTGGTGTAATGCATTGATAATAGAAAAGTAAAAAATGGATTAGCTAAACCGAAGACGCTTCCTAATCTCCAAATGGTATCCTGGTTTTTCGAATGAATCAAAGCTCTAAACAAAGTAGTCCAGTTCTTTGCTGTTTTGTAATACGATAGTGGTTTATCCCTCGGTATTGGTGAGGTTCCACTTTTGTGCTTTGAGCTAGCCTTCCTGTACCTCGCTGGGTGAGCTGGCATTTTGGGGCATGCCAATATCCCAGACACCTTCTCTGCTCTGAATATATATTCTGCTCGAGTATTATGTCTTCTTCCGTCTTCAGGGAAGTCTCGGGACGGTATAATTCAGTGCAGCTTGTATGTGAGTTAAACAACCAAGGTGTTGCATTAGGGTACTAGTATCCTATTGTAGGTCCCATTATGCGTAAACATGTCAGCGTATGATTTCTCCTATGATTAGTTGTTTGGGATGCTACATGTGGTATAATACAACAGGATTGGGACACCTGCCGCTATTATGTCCAGTTAATTTGCTAAGGTAATGGTATACAGCGACAAATTCAGGATATTTTGTGACAAAATGGTAATGTGCTTGTGCCATAAAAGATATGAGTTTATTATAGTCCCTATTTGTAGTCTACCGAGCCTTTTCTTCAATCGTAAGAGGTCACAAGAGTACGGTAAGGTTAATGATGCCATCATATAGAGGGGCGGAGAGGCTACCGATTTAGTCCAAATGCCATGTCGTTAGCATAAGGTTAAATCTGTGGATAATTCAGCCTCCGCATAATCATATTTAGGTTTAGCAAAACTGCCAAAGCACTGCATGTAAGCTGGAAATAATTTGTTTGTCTGCCACTACGGCCGAGTACGGATGCCTTTCCTTCTGATGCCCTAGGCAACCACTATATGATAGCCATCAAACGAATGCGCAAACCTAGTAAGCAAAGCAATCATTGAAGTTTTCTGAAACGCTATCAATTCACCGAGGCGGTTTCTAGTACGCTGGTTGGGCCTTTGCCCGGTTCGCTTGCCCCCGAGTCATACCAGTGGCCCCAAGCCCCAAGCTCGACTATTATATCTTCTTTCGTAACAGGGCTGCCCACCGATTCTGCATAAAGACCAAGTGCGTGAAAAAGCGATACCTTCTCCGCTTCACTACTGGCTGGACAGAAATCAGATGGACATGGTTGGGAAGCTCAGAATTGAAAACAATGTGGCGAGAAGGAATAGACATAAAACTCTGCTCCCACGGAAATATGTTGGATCGAATCCTTTGTTATACGATTCAACTTTCTTATCAGCACTCCTATGACTAACGATGAAAATACTTGATTGAAGCACATTCCGCCCCACTCCCAGTGCAGTACAAAACTCCAGCTCCAGCAGAATTGTCACGAGGGATCAGTAACGCTGCGGTCAATTATCGCTTCGGTTGCATGAAAATCCGGTGATTGGCATGGTTGACTCGTGGGTGACGCTTGCATTGTGATGGAGCGCCCAGGACGACGCTCAAAAGAAGAGAGGGACCATGCGACGAGTTAATCGTTTGTCTAACCCCGATTTTGGTAACGGGACCACTTCAAGTCTCCGCCATTGTACATTTTCCGGGTGTCGCACATAAGTTAACACGATTAATCAGCCCAAATAATTGGTGTAATAGACACAAAGCCTCCCAATCTTTATTCGAGTAAGAGATAATTACTATCGCAACAAAACCGATGCATTGATTCATCCTCAAGAAACTTATTCTTGGTCCATTCGTGACAAGGATGACCCAGATACATGTATCCAAATATGATGGGAATGGGGAGAAATAGAGGTTATAAAGTCATTAACCATTACTGTCTTGCAATGTGGGGTCAATTTTTCGTACAATTGTAGACCAATTCCCCTGTTCATAAACACTTTCAACGAGTTCCAAGCAAGACACTTCAGCAATCAGATTCTCTAATTCACTCGCCTCAAAAACATGGTAGTAGCGCATGACCGCAACCTCAGTTGCCGTCTCAGCTGCAATGGAATATTCACTGTCAGTAAACCTATTTTCGCTATTGATTATTCAGTAACTATCATCATCTTACCTTTCTTCTTCGACGCATTCCAAGGCAGGAGAATATCAGCTGCAACGAAGGGAGCGCGAGACTTTTGGACCGGCATTACACCACCTCCTGGGACCGCAGCATTAGTCATAACAATACCCTTTGCACAATCTGGTTTTCTACTTTGAACGTACGCCATTGTCTGCCCCTTCCAGTGCTGATCTTTCGCCCAAACTTGAATTAAACCGAGACCGCCGACTCTCAACAGCGAAGCCATTGATTTAAGGCCCTCTAGACGACGCTGTGGCGTTGCTAGATGGTGCAAAACAGCCACGCTGATAAAAAAATCCAGTAGACCAGGACGGTAGGGAAGAGCGAGGAGGTTAGCAGCAACACCATCGAAACCTCGACCTCGAACATGGTCCAGCAATCGAAGGCTGGAATCAGAGGCAAGTAGGGGCGAAAGTGGGAGTTTATCACGGACCACAGCGACAAGATACTTGCCATTGCCACAGCCAATATCTGCACCCCATGAACCCGAAGGGAGAGATCTTAAAAACCGCATGACGCCTGGCCAAGGAGCGTAGCGAGAATCACTGAAAGACTCGGCAATTGTGTCATAGACCTACATAATGATGGGGTTGTTAGCAGAAGTAACAAGTATGTCCACATATGGTCAAAGTAATCTCACCTCATGGACATATTGTCGTTCAAGTTCGGGTGCATGTAAGATATCTGGGGAGGAAGATGCCTAAAGACATATGAGCTGCACGTACCGCAATAAAAACCACAATAACTTGTAAAACATATTTAATCGACAAAAGGGAAAAAATTAAAAAAACCAACCTCGATTTACATTTTGTATGCGGAACAACCACGAAAAAATAGGGAAATAACTCGAAAAATGTCAAGAGGTTCATTTAAAGAAAAACAGATGTAAAATCAATTGAGGCGTTATGAAATCTTAAAAAGGCAACGATTGTCAAAAAATGTTGGATTAATATGCTCTTAAGAGTGTTTAGAAAACGTGAAGAGGATACCACGCGAATGTGCTAGCCCGCAGGTATCATAATGTCCGCATCAAATGTAATAAAGTAAAATAAAACCGAAAAGTTTTTCACAACATAATTTTGACTATATGGGTGTCATTCTTGCTCATTTTGTGTGCATATTATTGGGAAAAAACGTCTTTGCATTTAAATGGATCAAAAGTGTCTCAATAAAGCAAATGCACATTTGAAATGTTATTTTAGGTCATGATAGTTGGTCACTGCGTGAGTGCTTCTAAAAAAATATAATTGTACTAAGACATTGCAATCTTCAAAAAATTAGTGCACTTGTAGCGTCCTGCTACTCCGCTGGAGACACAGGTAAACTCTACTCGGGGTAATGGCATGGTCCTGAGGCCAGTCGACCGGCGAGGCGCAATAGCCAAGACGAAGTGACCCTTTACCAAAACTGACCACAAACTAGACAGTAAAATTTTTGCAGTACCGATTGAAGTTTATTTTGCTAGAACCAAAGCAAAGTCAAAGCACTATGGAAGAACACACATTAATGAAGTGCGGAAGACCTGGGAAGTTTTATGTAGAAGCTAGAGACTTCATTGAAGACGAAGGAAGAATAGACTATACATATTCGACATGCAGTAGGTTTTGGGGCTGCTAGCACAGCCCGGAGGCCAGCCCACCTGTCGAGGATACAACGATGGAGGTCCCAATTAGTCCTCCCAATGCATCGAGAGTTAGACACCAGACGTGTTATATGCCATTCCTTTATTACAGCTGCTTTTTATATACTAGACATGAATTACTGCACTTTCTTTACCGTTATGTGATTTAGTCAGTTTATTCTTTGGTACCCAAAGCACCATACAAGCATTAAACATGCCACTGGAGACTCATTTTAACAGAGCCGTCCAAGCAGCTTGACTACGACGTAATCATGGCGCACACCCAATCTGTGCGTGCGTATCTAGTGCGAACAAACGCGCGTATTAGCAACACTCACGAAGTAAGGGCGCGGCGTGGGGGCCTTCAATGAGAATCATCTATAAGATTTGCAAATCCTTTAGACTGCGTAATTTTTCTAAAGACTCCATCAGAGTTCACTACCGGTAATAAAGGGACGGCTTGTCTGCCTCCTACTCAAGTAGTTACACAACTGTGAACATGGTTTTAACCTGCATTGGGTAAAAAACTATAAAACTTTATTCTGTATGCATTCTACTATACGGTAAGGCCAACGAAGACTGAAAACATTTTAAGTTCACTGCAAATCCAGAACTGCGATAGCCTCAATTCCGACTAGAGCATTCTAAAATAATTGCGGAATTATTCAATAGAGATTACCTTTGGTAAGGCCTTTACAGCGTAGCAGACTCTAGCAGGATATGGGTCGGTGAAATCTACAGACTATAATCGACGAAGAAGCCACACCTACACTTTGCATAGATCTCGTTGACAGTTGCAAAGTCCTCCATGTTAGCTAAGAGGATCGTAGTCTTCACAATATCCTTCATTTGTCCACCGCTTGCCTTGACAATACTGGATAAGTTCTTTAAGGTCTGTTCTGTCTGCTGCTCGACGGAAGGGCCGGCAATTTCCATTGTCTCTGGATTTATGCCAAGCTGACCTGAAATGTACAATGTTTTGGCTGCGAAAATGGCTTGGCTATATATTTCTTTCCTAGATGTCTTAGTAACAAACCTATATGGTCCAATCGCTTTGGGGGCCATAACACATGAAATAACTTTCCGCACAAGATTCATCGCCAAGCATGCAAGAAATAAACTACTGAAAATCTAGGATGGGCGTGGATTAATTCAAACAGTTGAGGCACAAAAAACGAGTGACAAAAAACAAGAGCAAATGAAGAGGATTTAAACGAAGTTTATGAAGTTGGTAATTTTTGAAATGTGGATTGGATGAAGAATTGACTTATGTGGTTGATGAGATATTAATGATAAGTCAATCGGAGTAGCTCATTAGATTACAACTAGTGCCATCTCCCTTGTTAATTTGTTGTACTAGAATGAGTTGATGGGAATTCGGACGAAATTTTTACCCAATATTTCCCAATCACACGTGTTCTCCGGCGATGATGAGAATAATATTAACCCTTGAGCTCAGTACTTGGTAAAATTTGCTCCATATATCCAAATTTAAAGTTGAACACCAAGTAATCAACCTAAAGTTACGTTCGATTGCTGATCTTTAATATGCCTGCACATAAGATTTTTAGACTTAAATCCATTAATAGGAACATAGCTACTACACTGGAATTGTTCGCCTATAGTCATTGGGAAATTAAAGGAAGGAATAGGTCTAATTATTGAAGCTCGAGTGAGTCTGAAATATGTCGTTGTATTTCGCTGAAAAAATGGGTTGGTTTCATGAGGCAGTAATGTTGTGTGACCTTGTGTTATCTTGGCGTTGAATAATCTCTCAAGTTACTTGGGAAAGTTTTTCTATAAATTCCTTTGTTTTCATGATGCCTGTTTGAACCTCTCATTTTGATTGCCCTTTGCTCTGTTCGCTCTGAGCTGTTTCACATATCCCTTTGCCATTCAGTATTTGAAATCGTTGAAGGAATATTTTAGATGCCTAGTCAAGGCATGCGAATTCAACCGGATTGGGACAAAGCCATCCTGTATGTTCGATTTGTACTATCATAGATGCAATTTTTCTTCTTGCCCCTCGTTAATACTACCTTCTGATAAACCTAGAGAGAAGGATAGAAGTTTTTGGTTCCATCTCTACGGCCCTGATAGGACTCATCATCAAAAAGTTGAAATCAGTGAGGGCGCGCTTACTCCCGATATCTCAGATGTAGATTGCTGTGTCTCTACGTCGGTGGGTATTTTGATAATCTTGAAATTATTTTAATTTTGCCTAGAAAACTATCCGCTTCAGGGATAATGCCAGACGCCTGCAGAGTACATTCCAGTGTCCAGATTTTCGATTCAGCTCTGTCCATAAACAACCTCGACAGGTAGAAAGTAAACTGACTTTGCTATCTTTTCGTCCACATATATGTTTTTGATAGATAAATTAACTTTAATGTTCTTTTAGCCTACCCTTCACTTGAATTCTTTCGATGTGAATGCCAGCGGTGAGCTAGCATTATCAGCCTCTAGTGACGGAAATGTTGTCTTATGGGAAACTAAGACGTCCGAAATTCGGGTAAGTATGTCTGCATGCTGGTTTTTTTCGTTCCTATTTCCCAAGACTTTATGGCTAGTTCTGGTCAAACGTTTATTCCACTCAAAGTTAGCTCAACATCAATGTTTTTATTTGCTAGAATGTGCATTTACGACGTCAATATCACTTGGATTCATCGGGAATGACGCTCTTGGGCACAGATTGTATGCATTTTTTCTATTTATTCTGAAGATGATCACTGATTTTGTTTTCATGGTCGTTTGTACGTATTACTGCACTCAAGACACATTTAGAGATTAGTACAGAGGTAGTGAGAGATTTTTTCTATGTGAAACTCAATCCACAGCTTTTTGTGGTGAGACATCTACTGAATTCAACTACTACCTAGGGCTAAAATCCTATTGCTCCTCTAGATCTGAACAACTAGTAGCTTCCAATTCTACTGTGCTGATTGCGATCTGAACCTTAACTATCTCTTGGGCTAAGGCTGTATGTCATTTGGAGTCATGATCACGACTGTTGATACCGATGTATTGGGTTTTTTTCCCAGACTATCTATCCTACAGTCCCTCTGATGATGCTGACCATTGAAGAGTCAAATGGACGGTTGATCAACTACTATAAGGCTAATTAACCAACTCTCAAACTACGTGCTTGCCTAAGTCAGTTAGATGCATTTGTTTGCGAATAAGGACTACTTATTGCTCTACTACCACTGTAAATCCGTGTGTTCATAATCCATACGAGCAGCTAAAATCAAGGAATTTTCAACTCTGAGACTCCGTACTTATCCAAGCGAATACATCATACGTACTGGGGGACTAGCTGAAAACGAATAAATCCGTGGGGCACACCATTGATAAAAACAGCTGCTGTCAACTCTCGGAATTTGTATATTCACTTTACTAAATCGGACTCTATTTTAATCATGCTCTTTTCTTTTTGAAAGCGAAAATTCGTGGGACACGCGAGTGAGGTCTACTGCTGCCGTTTTTTCCCTTCTGGTCTAGTCGTTGTAACAGCCGGCGGGGACATGCAGTTGCGCGTGTGGTGCGCACTCACTGGCGCTTGTCCCGCCACACTCCGTGCTGGTTTGGGCGGCGTTGACGTTACTTCCGCTAATCCTCCCACCAACTCGTCCACCGCTACTGTCTACGAGCCGGGTGGACATAGGGCGGGCGTGATTGATGTGGACTTCGTTGATCGTGGAAGGAATATCGTCGCTGTGGATCGTGGAGGGTGGCTGCGTCTCTGGGATGTTTCTACTCAGGTAGGTAAACTCACTTCAAACTTTTTGGTAATAACTGTCAAAATAATAGCGTGAAGTAGATGTTTTTTTAACAAACTTTAGGGTCTATCCAAATTAAGCCGTGCATACGCCTTGGGAAATATCTCATCGGAAAACAAGATCGGTGGTTTGGAAGTTTGAAACGGAGTTGGGTTTAGCTCAGGGTTTCAAATAGTTTCTACCCGGTGGCAGGTGCATAGTCAATCGTTGAAAGTATGTGAGGCCTACGGCTTTAATTTCGGGTTTTACTGGAAGCCAAGCTAGAGCCAAGTTCACCCGTGAATATTAGCCTATTGCCCTGTTTATAAATATCGGGGATAGTTCGGTATTGGGAAAGATTATATTAGCAAATACCTTATCGTTTATTTTTTTGACCGATCATTTCCCATAAATGTGTGCGTTTACACTTGCCATAACTACAGCTTCCTTTTCATTAGTGCTAAAGAGCCGGGGAAAGTAGGCGGCATCAACAATCGTGTTTACTAAATGGAATAAAATATCGGCTTTGGCAAAATATAACGAGATTTATGTCTTTGGGTGAGATTGAAAGTTTTCAAAAAGTTAACCATAACCCAAACTTCAAGCTCTTATTTCAGCTTGTTTAGTCAGTGCCAGTATTGTGGGCTAATGACCCCAAGTTTAGTGAGTCATCAGTTCTTCTTTTAAAAATACAAGATATGCAGGCATCCAGGTGAAGTAAATGGGGTTTGGAATTGGTTTTTTACAGTGATTCGTGTTTAAAGTAGGAAAATACTTTCGTAGAGCTAATCTAGACAATGAAGATTTTTACCATGTCTCGGGAAAGGCATGGTGTTTTGCCACGTTTAAACGTATCAGAAGTGTTTCTTCACACGAATATTCTTTTCGTACATACAATAAACTTTATCAAACAAATGTGCCGCTACACGATTGCGGCGTTTCCTGCCTAATCAAAACATTCTAATCGTGTGCGAAGTTTTATTTTCAAATGGCTTCGTTGAGGCATCTTTAGATTCTCATATTTCATCGAAAGCAAAGGACCCACACTCTTATGGAACTTGGGTTGCTAAATGAAGGAGAATCCGATTGGCTTCTCATTTACCAGTGTCCGTGTTACGGAAGCACTAATTGAAACACGACCTGCGCTTACGCCTATTCGCAGATTGCCATCTCAGCAATGTCCGTAACACCGCGGTCGCCGGGATCAACGCTTCAGACGAATTGCTCGATGGAGGAGGCGCCAACTTGTTGCGTGGTGAAGCGTCGCGTTTCTTCTGATGAGGCAACTGCAGACGCCACTGTTGAATCCGCTGAAAACTACTATGGTATTTTTTCTTCATTCTCTTTCATAATGGGTACTATGTACTTTCATTCCAAAACTGTACTTGTAGTACATTCTCTCATGTCATTTCTGAAGACGTAACAAGGCATCCCAGCATGGAGGTAGGTTTTACTATCAACGTAAAGGTGGAATGGACGCAGTTTGCATAGACAGCATGACGCCAGTGTGTCGGTTAGTTAAAATTTCATGTAACTGAACGCGTGATGAAATTTTTTTTCTTTTCGGTGGAGCTTCTCTTCCATTGGGAGCTGTCCTCAGCGCTCTTCTTGTTCACTCTTCTGGTTTCAAGAAGATACCTGATTCTTAGGACCGTGTTTTATCTCCTAAACGTAGATGAATTCATCACTTGTCTAATTACTGCTCAAGGCCGATTATTGTTTTACACCGAGTACATTTCTTATGGCATTCGCTCAGAAAAAGGCATTCTTAAGTCAAGCATGCAGTGTATTTTGTCTTCCTAGATGAATGCTTTATACTCACCTCTACTCGCAACTGCTGTAATTTCGATGATATCTGGTTGTCTATGGGTTGCTTGAGAAGGCATCTAGTCCTAAAATGACTTCCACATTTCAGTATTTACAGTTATTCTGGTCACAAATTCGCTTCTTTCGAGATGATTGTCACGAGCCGACGCAATTTTGGTAGCTCTTAGACTGGGAACATCGATCGGTCTAGTCATCCTTGGCGGATGTTTTTCCTCTGCGAAGTTTCCCTATGGTTATCAATCGGTGAAATAGAAATTTTTCGTTCGGAATCACTTCGCCTACCACCGTCACCAGTGTATTGCTTGATTTACTTATGTGGAAGTGTTACGTTATATCGGTCTGGAAGTGGGTGCATTAGCGACGGCTAGAAGCACTGGGAGACTTAGTGTGAGGGCAACTAAACAAGTCCAAAAGCAAGTTTGCGAAGAGCTCGAGCATTTACATATAAAACTAAGATAACCATTGTTTTACCACCATACAGCATTGAATTGGTCGAATAGTCTGCTTTGGCTGAAAATTTGTCTTCGGGCAGGTCTTGAGAGTACTTCGACACGCGCCACGGCCGTTGGCGTAACAGACAAACTGGTTGCCGTTGGCTGTGGAAGTCACGGACGCCTCCTGCTTTTCGATATATCTTCCGCCCACTCTCGCAAACGCGGACCTACTCTCCAACTCTCTCTGCCTTGTGCTTCTGGTGCTGTAACCGCTTGCGCTGTCTCAATGGAGACTGGCACTTCAGTGGGTGGCGTTTTCAACGAGTTCGGGTTGGTTGCCGGTGGTTCGAGTGGGGAGATCACATGTTGGGACCTCAGAAATTATCGGTAATAAGGAAATACCACTTAATTACTGCTTATATTAATGCTTTGTGACAGTGCATAACTGTTTGCGGTTGTAGTACACCGTTATTCGCCTACGAGGCCTATAAGTATGGCGTTTGTGCTCTGCAAATGGTCCACTTTCCGGCTCATTCTGTGGATATTGCGGGCGGAGAAAGCCTGTCTGTGCCTGCATTTACCGGCATCTTTTCTGCCTTCCGTATGTTGCGTTATTTTAAATCCTATCCACCTATTTTTTAATACCAAATTGTGCTGATGGTTACCTTGAATAATATGTGCATCTATATAAATGACAAAGCGAATGCACGCACTCTTGATTTTTTGCCATCAAAACCGAGAAGTAAAGGAAACGTCGATTTGAGACCATGGTCCCCTCTTATTTGCAACTTTTGAATGACCTGGACACGGGGGTAATGGCACACAATGCGCACCATCACAGGCGATCGAAAGCGAACAAAGGCGTCATATTTTTTCAACTGTGATAAATTTGCCTTGAAAGGGGGAAGTCGAATCCTTCAATGTGCTGCTTTGTTGTGATTTTTCGTGTCTTCGACTTAAAACATGCATTTAAATTTTCTTGCATGACAAGGGAGATGGACCATTGCCACTAAAAGCAAGCATTCCTCCTCGAACAGAAATGCTTCTGAAGTTGTGCTTTCTTGCTTCGGATTTCTAGGTGATGGCCGCACAGTTCTGCGTCGGATGGTCGAGGGTGGCCTTTCTATTGACAGTGACGGTTATTCTCGATGCCTTGAACTGACCGGTCCAGAGGCGGAAGCAATTTGCGGACTTCGTACACACAACATTGAAAACGCGTCCGTGTGGACTGGCACCTATAGCGCACAATTTTTCGGCTACCGTCGAATTGCTTTTGAGAGTCTCTTCAATTTGTAATAGTTTCTAAAATATTTTTTGATTGATTCCGGTTTCTTGTGGTGTTGGGTTGTTTTTTGCTAAAATGGTATTTACAAATGTATAATTACTGTGACTGCTGAAAATCTAGGCCGGCACTTTCCCATTGGTAGTGTTTTGTCCTATAACCCTCTAAACTTAGGTTGGGCGCTTATTTTTTGTGTTTTGGATGATGAAAACCATCTATGTCGGGGATTCTTACGGTTGCTGAGATTTTTGGATAGCGCTTTATGTGTGCATAATTTGCAAGTTTTGCGCCGGCTAATCCTGAGTTTGGTCATAATTTGTATTTTTACTACTTCTGGTGCAGCAACTTCTTTATGATACCTTTGACAATGGTCTTAAAAAGGTCGCGCTTGTGTGCCATCATCAGCCGCTTTGACTCCTACCTGTCGCAGAACTAGCCTGAAACGATGTTGAGATGGTAGAACTTGCTTTTGGTCTTCCTGAAACAGCTCCTACCCTTTTCTTCATAATTGCCTGCTGAAGTTTTCCCACTCTTCGTGATTGTGGCTACGACTGGCCATCCGAGGCGTTATGTTCTTGAGGCCCTGAAAACGACCGCCTTCTAGCCTTTTCGTTTGTATGTGAATAAAATAGAATTTCATTCCGTCACCGTGCGAGCATCCTCAACTTACGAAACGCTCTTCTCGCAATTCTCGGAAGTTCTTTGGTGTTGTCTTAACTGTTGCTTTAACATATTTGTAGCAGCAGGCAAAAGTCCGCGGGAACTGTTTTTCTCAGGCATGCAAAACCAGAAAGGCATTAACGTCAGCACTTTTTACTATACAAGTAATTACTAGATGTATAGAATATCGTAAAATCTAAGCGGAAGCCTTGGTACTGTTGTAATAGGTTAGATGATTATTTAACTCTAGGTTTCGGTAGCGGGTCACTGGGGGACTCCGCTATTAAACCTCCAACGGAGGGCCTGGCCTTCGTGGAATGTCAGTAGCCTCAATTCCTTCTGTATGTCGGCGGTACATATTCTGCCTTAAAGGGAATCTGGGAACGCTGCATTAGTGGCAGCGGAAAGCGAACCCAATCTTAAAGGGCAAATTATCTGATCTCTATTACTGAATGCCAAACCCCAACGTGGTGGAAGAAGGGTATATGCTGCAGATGAGAGAATGAGACGACCCCTAGCGGAAGGTCTGGAAATGACGCCTACCTTCAGCATCTGCTCCATTTCCGTACCCTGCAGGAATGCTATTAACAAATGAAGCGAAACTAGTCGTGAACCATCTGGGAAAGTTCATTACGGAGCTATCCATGGCAACTGTATGAAGACATCAATTAAGTAAACACGCAATATCTCCCATCACTCTACCAGCTGTATAGAAACCGCGTAGGTAGATCTGCGCAGCACTGAAGTTTGGACAGTGGCAAGGAAAATCAGATCCGAAACTACCCCATGGAACCATGTTAAACCCGTCCTTTGTTATATGATTGCTTTTAGACAAGTGTTCTCGCAACTAGCGACAGACAAGCGTTGAATTTCCAAGCGGGATCAGTGAGGTTGGGGTCAATTTTCTTATCAGTTGTATGGAAATTCAATGAATGGGACGGTCAGCTCGTGGATGTTTTTCCGACAGCACCGACCACGTTGTGATTACCATCGCAGGAGATTGGCCAAGGGGAGCGCCGGGGGCGATGGTAAGAAAGATAGAGGAACTAATGCAAAAGGTTACTCGTTTCTTTAGCTCTGGATTTTGGTAACAGGTAAGATGAGGGGCCCCGCCATTGTACCTCCACCTAGCGGCCCTGCCTCCAGGCCATGCCAATAGCCCCAATCCCTTCTGTAGGTCGATAGTACATTATTCTGCCCGAATATTACGTCTTTCTTTCGTGTTCAGGAACGGTTCCAGGCGGTACGCTGCTTCATAGGATCCTAACAACAACAACAACTCCAATAGATTCATTTAAAGGTGCTTTATTAATGTTGAAGAAACATTCACAAAAATATTAGAAATTTGGTCTAAGCATTTTCCGCAATTGATTTCAATCAGAATTGAGAAGTAACTCTTTTTTGACACCATAATTGTCACCTGATAATGAATTAGCAGGTTGTATGGAATAGGCCTGCAACGGGGTGTCCACACTCTGCCAATTTATTGTATATCTCCATAGCGACTTGTGTCGGCTTAACAATCACAGTGTGGCCATCATTTTCAACTTCGGTTATAACAAAGTGGGGAACATGAAGCCAGGACATCTTGCCCATACTGAGAACGATAGTTTCCGCTCCCGAGTCGTAGACATCGATAACATCCTCCAGGGCTATGCCTCGTCGATGGCTTGTTCCTGACCGAAATCAAAATCTACTCAAATAAATCGAACAACGATCACTATCGTGTCACGTCTGCGTAATCTTGGTAGTACAAAAGCTGATTTCCACGCCGTGTCAGAAAGGATTTTCTGTTTCAGCTACAGTTTGAAACATAAGCACAACGAAAAAATGCACATGTTTGACTACTTTAGGATCACCAAAACCCTTTGGCCGGGAAGCAATTAAAGCAAAACACAAAATCCGCCGCTGTTATCGCTTGTGTTATTGTAAGTTCCCATACCCCGCGTAGTTATATTTTAGAGACCAGTTATGGACCAAAACCACTCAGTGAACTTAGGTCAGAGAATAGTATATTTGCATCTAAAATTTAGCTAACACGATGCGGCATAACAAACTTTTACCATTTCATGAGATTACATTTGCCTCATAACATCCAAGTAGGTGGTATAGGTGGCAATCAAACCACTTAAACTGGAAATATTTTCTGGTAGAAATTGGACAAAGCTCGAAATCATTAGGTGAGCTAAAAGAAGCCGCTATAATGAGACAATTTGTTGCAATTTTACCTCAATAAACCCGATAAGGCCACCCGAAAACCTATCAAACCATCTATGGGCAAGCGAACCTAACGTAATGCTACAGTAAAAAATAAGCAAACAAGCAAATAGAGTGTATTAGAAAAAACTAGCCACTCACCATGCTTCTTCCAATCCCAGGACTGGCTGCCACCTGGCCAAAGCTTTGCATCTCTGTATTTGAGTGTCTCCGAGGTTTTGAGACATCCTGTCGCCTTATCAACCTTCTCCACCACAAGAGAGCCCCATTTAAGTTGCAGAATACGCGGTGAAGGCAAGGGAAATGCGTTCTCACGCCCTGTGCGCAATAACGGATCCATAACCAGCTCCACCGTATCACAAAGTGAGCAGCACAGTTGCCTGAACCAAAACTGCGTGCAGGCCTGGCCAATGAAGTTGCGTCCATGGGCTCCGATGCCACTGACCAATCAATGCGCGAGTTCGAAGTGTCAAGTGGTGGGAATGTTTGTGGCGTGGCCTTAACGTTTAATAATTCCAAAAAAAATTTGCACTACGTGAAATAAAAGCCCATAAACTGACATCTCACATTACCAGCATACTTGGGGAAGACCAAACAATTTCTGAAGATTACCACCCGTACTGCCGTTGAATTAAAAACCAGCACTTCAATCACTTAAATCCTCAAAGTGTACCTTTACGGATGTCACTGACCTGTAAACGTGTAGGTACTGCTACGCTTATATCCTTGATATACGCTAGGGCTCAAAGTTGTCATGTATATTGCACGCTAGGCGAGGTCACTTCTAACGAAGCAATAGGCACCGACAACACATTTGCTGCCTAAGCACTATCCCCTCTCTCGTCTTCGAAGAAGTCTTTGGGAGCTACATTGGTGGTAGAGGAAAGTGAAACCCACCCTAGAGGACAACTTTCCTAATTTCTGCTGCTGAGTGATAAACTACCACGGTCCCGTAGTTCGCAAGAACGCTGCTAAAATCTAAAGCAACACTATGCTTAGCCGTACACCGTCTGGAAAAGTTCATTACGGAGGCAGCACTGAACTGGGCAAAAGTCGCCAGGGGGAATAGACGCAAGTGACTGCTGGTGAGCCAGTGTTCCACTGGTACTTGACCCAATTGTTGGCCGGCGTATTTTCCTGTCCCCTCAATAGAGTTCCTACACAGGATGAAACTCCAGATGCAGTGGAATGGACAAGAGGAATCAATGACGTTGTGGTGGAATAGCTTCTCAGCTTCAAGGAAATTTGAGGACTGGCACATTTGGCATGTGGGTGGTTTTTTTGCAGCACCAATTACGTTGTGATTCCTGACGCGGGAGGTTGACCAAAGGGAGTACCGGCGACGACGCGCACAAGAGGAGAGGGGCAGAATACATTGATTGTTTGTTTAACTCTCCGCCATTGTACCTCCACTGGGTGGTGCAACTTCCAAGCCTTGTCAGTAGCCTCAAGTGTTCCATGAAGTAAAAGGAAAATATAATACCAGAGCAGAATATTATAATGAGTTTGGTGTTTAACTCTCGATTTCAGTAAAGGAACCAACCAAGGTCGCCACCATTTTGCATCCGCTTGGTGGACTGGCCACCTGGTCATGCTGGTAGCCCCAAGTTCTACTGTGTGTCGACAGTACATCTTCTGCCCAAGTATTATGTCTTCTTTCATCTCCAGGGAAGTCTCAAGACGCTGCATCAGTGGCATTAAAAGAGAAAGATTCTGATTTCTACTACTGGACAATATACCTTAGCGTGAAGGAAGAAGTGCCCGTGCTGCAGATGGGAAAATCTATGACGACGCCTAGCAGAGGGAATGAAAATGACGCCCACGTTCGGCAATTACCACAGCCCCGTATTCTGCAAGAGCGTTATTAACAACTAAAGCGACAATAATTTTGACCGTGAACCGCCTGCAAAAGTTCGGTAAGGAGTTCTCTACATTAGCTGCATAGAAATGTCAATTGAATGAAGTGTCACCACTCTACTAGCTGGATAGAACCCAGACAAGTATGGTTGGACAGCATTGAAATGAGCAAAGTTGCCAGGAGGAACAGACGCGAGGCCTTATCACCCAACATAACCATGTTAAACCCCGTTCTTTATTAAATAACTCCGCTTTTGGATACACATTTGAGATGGCCAGCACATTCCCTCGTCCCCCCACCCTCCCACAACACACTTGCCATGCAGGACGAAACTCCAGATCTAGTAGAATTTCCAATGAGGATCAGTGACATTACTGTCAAATATCTTCTCAGCTGCACTGTTTAGTGGATTAGTTTCTTTCAACACCACTTACGTCGTGATAGCTGACGCGGAAGGTCGACCAAGAGCATTGCCGTAGATGACGCTCAAAAGGAGAGGGGTCATATAGTACGTTAATTGTTTAACTTTCGGTTTAATAACGGGCCAATTAGAAGTGCCGTCATTGCGCATCCTCCCAGCGGGCTGACTCATGGACCGTGCCACTAGTTCCAAGCCCTTCTGTCCATCAACAATACATATTCTGCCCACGTATTATGCATTCTTTCGTCTTCTCAAAAGTCAAGGGGCCTTACGGAAGTGCTGGGAGGTACTGACATGATCCGGAGGCCATGCCGCCTACTGAAAGTACGACAACGGAGCTCTGAGTGGCAGTGATTTATAAATGATGAGTTAAAGAAATAATCAAAGAATTGCAATTCGATCATTCAATTGTCAAGGTGTCTCATTAACATTGTTTACATACGGGAGTATTTCGTAGACCAATTTATAGGAAATATCAGTCGCGGATGGAATAGATGTAGCTCAAGATCAGAAATCAAACAAGGATACTCACTTGTCGTATTTGGCAGGTGAATGATGCAGGCTTCAATTATAAGACACTCGTTGCAGCGATCTTTGAAGGTATCATATTCATCCGCATTTCAAGTGCATAAGAGGATAGGAAAGCTGGGAATTTTTATGCTTCGATGTTTTATAGATGAAAACTACCTTAAAGTTATTTGTGAAGAATTCACGTTTGCCTAGCTAATAATTTTCCGTAGTTTCCATTATTTTCCATCAAAAAAAAATTGGAGTAAATCGCAAATGTTCGAGTTGCATAAAACTTATTGTTAAAAAGACCTCAACAATGTGCATGTCGCCATAGAAGTGCGTAACCATAATGACGTAAAAAGTCTTTTTGTTGATTTAGTGTGTGTGCTGGTTGAACTTTGGTACATCTAAGAGATGCAAATAGGGCTTCTTTTAAAGCACTTCATTCTCGAGTTTTTATTCGCGTTACCTGCACTTTGACCTCCACATAGAAAAGCGATTTAATGCATTAGAAATGAAATAGTAGAACCAGCACTTTTTTTGGTCACCTACGAAGACTTACTTAATATTTCCACAAATGAACATTTTAAGCGAGACTGCCTTAAAACATTAAACCTAAGAAAACCTCTAAGCTTGAACATACGATTTACCATTATGCGTGTCAATGCACAGACCTCTCAGACTCCTGGAGTTGCAATGATTGCATTGCTGGTAGGACGTCGAGTTCTACTGATATGGGTCTCTGATGCTAATGCACCATCTCGAGACTTTCCTGAAGGCTAAAAAATACAACACTTGGGCAGAATATGTATTGAGACCTCCGACACCTTTCAAAGGCGAGACCACTTGTCGGTGGTGCAATGGTGGGGCCCCAAAACCAAGTGTACTAAACCAGTTTTGTGGTCCTTCTGAACTCCCACAGCAAAGCCACTTCAGGTTCGTATTCCAAAGAACCCTGCAGAGGATAACTCAAGTACTTCAGCCTAAATGATGCTCAAATATTCTCTGACCAAAAGGCAATTGATCTTCAGCATTCAGTCTGGAAACACGTTGCTGCAAAATAATTACATCCCTTAAGACCAAGCAAAATTTCCAGTAATTTCCAATTGAATAGGTGTGGTTAAGCTCTTTTTATGTCTTACCTCATGGGCATACTGAAAAAAACCGCCTATTTCTTAATTGGCCTCCACCATTACTTCGAATCAACCAAAATTCTCATCACCTTCGTGAACAAACCCATCAATGCATAAAGCCACTTACAGGAGAAAAATGAAGCAAACTGAGGAGGTCAGACAAAAACAGGTTATAGCTGATACCATCAACATGAATCTCTACCTGAACTGGGACTAATCTAGGATTACATTAGCTTACATACTGTTTTGTCTAGTTGCTAAACACGTGTCTACACTGAAAACAGCACAGGAATGATTAAAAAAAGATAATCTTAAACCACCTGCCTTTCAACCAACCTGATTAAACCAAACAAATAAACGAAATTGGCAACAGGAGCCAAAAACTCAGTAGAGAAAAGAAACAAGAAGTTATATGAGTCTACTTTATTATGCATGAACCAAAAACAAATCTAAAAGTCTTCTTTCTGAGGAATGTATATAACGAAAGACAAGATTCTAGACCAAATTTGATGGCTGCAATGGTAGTTACGAATATACATCTTCCTGAAATTCCAACATCTAGTGCGGAATTCGACCCCTCATTGCCGCTGAATACAGACCAAGTGGGGAATCATCTTTTCCGAGTCGCCAGCGAGACCAGGAAAGACTAAGCTTGGCTGCAGAAGACACACTTTAAAGTGAAATCGTTCGCACATCTCAAGGGAAGAGGCTAGGCCCACGAAATTCCCCAATGTGGTACCACGTCGGGGCGCCAGTGCGAGAAATATGGAGCCCGAACTGGTGGAGAGCAGATAGTCAATGCAGCAAAGAAGCCCCCCATGAGTGGAGGAGGTGTGAAAAGCAAAGAAACAGTCCGCGGCGATTACCATATCGAAAGAGTGACGCCAGTCCTCGTGACCTTCCGGAAGGTAAGGTCTGGGAACAAAGAGCAGAGAAGAGGGCTCTCATCATCTTTAATAACTTTAACTGCAAAAGTTTCCAGCTTCCAAAACAACGCATTTACTAGTGCTCGATTACTTTGGACTCAGCTGTTTCAACGATGTTTGTCCAAGTGACTTCCTACTGTTAATTGCAAATTTCCCATAAACAAGAAAAAAACACCCGAAATCTTTCCAAGTAATTTTTATTACAATGACAATTAGTCTCAGCGAAATTATGCGTTTGTTCGGATGTTGATAAGCTGATAGCTCTTGCAGAAGGGATATTTCCGAATAATCATGAACCAGAAGCAACACTTGGTGATGACAAGTCGAATGGGACCCACTTGAAATACATTAACAGGTCATCAGCATTTTTAGACACTAAATTACTTCAATATTGGCCGAAAGCAGCGTAAGAAAGTAGCATATTTTGTCACATACCTAAGGATGGGTTTGAACTTTTTTTCACAGTAGAAGGTTAGTAGCTTTTAGGCTCCGATAATTGCTGTGCAATCACTAGTCTCATCAAAATATCAAGTTATGGTGGCCAAAAAACGGCTAACTCCCTCATGGAGTCAATAGAACACAAACACCTCGGACTAAAAGTGAGATTGGAAGAATCCCACGGCACAGTTAAATTTCCACATTGGCAACCAGCCGTTTAACCCTGAAAATAAACCAACCACGTTAGGTACCCGAGATAAGGCCAATACGATTAAAGTCATTGCAAAAGTAAATATGCCTCGAACTACACACCGATTTGTAACAAATTTCAACGTTAGCATATACAGCTGAATGCCACATCTTCAAGATATTGGATTACTCCGTCTCCCGCAACTTAGACTTCTCGACTGCTAGTTCCAACTATTGGTAGGAAATAGTATACCTTAGAAGCGAAACTACATCACACCGAATTCACATTGAAGCTAAGAAAACTATTTCGATCTCAGGACTAACCTCATTTCATAGCCAGGCGTATGGAGATGAACAGAATACCAATGTAGGTGTGTAAGCTGTTTCAAAAATATCCTTGGAGTAGCAACCATCTGATGGGACTCAATAAAAGTGGGGGAAAATAATCCCTGACGGACAAGATAATTTTTGTAAACGATGAAACATCCATTGCTAATAGGACCGATGAAAGGCAATTACACTGTCTAAATATATGAACTGGAAATGATATTAATGACAGCCAACGACAGAAACGCATTGGAGTACTTTAGAATCCAAGAAGTGAAAAAAAAAATTCGTTCATTGTTTTACTACTTAAGCACTAAGCTTCCATAAAATCAAATTGAGAACTGGAATTTTATTTTAAGTATAACGGAAAAAGGAGTCAGCCATCGTAAACAATTCCTTATACACAATAAACAAAGTCCGACGAATCTGGAAGAGTAAACTAACATTCATTCATAATAAAAAACGATTCGATGCTATTCACTGCTAGGCGATCAGGAAAAATGAAAATCTTCAGTAATCAATTGAGAATTGCAATTTCACAAGAGTTATGTTTTGTACGAGTTAAAAAAATATTCTGAACAAATTAAGGCATTACTTACTAGTAAGGGATTCTTGACAGAGCTTGATGAATAAAGCATAGCTTGTTATGAAATACTTCAGGAATTCAACAGCCCCCTTATCACCAAACCCCCATCGATGGAGATTAACTTCCATTCCACAAATAGGGTTCCGGTATTACTTTCGATTACATTAGCTGATGCAAAATGTGGGAGAAATTTATTGCATCTATGCTGTGATGGTGATACACTGAGGAAATCAAATATTATTAATTATTCCTTAAAACTTAGCCACAAAAGTAACGCAGCCTACACTCTGGGAGCTAATTTCGACAATTTTGTAAAAATTCCGCGGAGTAACGCCATACTAAAGTAATAAAACGTTTCTTACTCCTTGTCAATGGTTTCCGACCACCGAAGAAACACAGCCTCCATCTTTGGAGTGCGGTTACGACAGCTGGCTCTCAGAACGCTTTCCAGGCTTCGAACGCACTCCTCATTACCATCAGTCAAGGCAAGGTACTCCAACGTGGTGTAGGTTGCGGCCATCGCAAGACCACCAACCCCCAGACTTCCGGCAGCTAATTCCACAGCGCGTCGACAGGGAGATGGGAATTGGACGTGGTGAGACACATCCAGGGGATTCAAGAAGATGTGGGCAAGGAGAAGCTCGCACGGCCACAATAAAACCGCAACACCTGTGCGATCAAAACCCACTAGATCTTTTAAGTTACATGAACGCGGGAGGGACTTTGGAATACCGAGAAGAAGAGATGGTAGTGGCTGTGATGCTGAAGAAGTTCGCGGAGAAAGTTGCCAAACAACAGCTGTGGCCACTTCTTCAAAGCGAGTGATTTCAAAGAGCCCAAAGACATTGGCGGAGGAAAGGCAGTTGAGGTTCGTATTTGCGGTATCACTAGGTTTCATAACGTAGTTTCGAAGGAGACGCCATCGATTTTCGGCGGATTTTGCATTCATTAATCGATTATGCCTGCAAGGAAAAAGAGAGATGTTAAGAATGATTGCAGTCCTATATTCAATAAAGAGTGGGAAAATTTGGTCCGAAATAGCAAGCTGGTGAGACATAAGACATCGAAGTATTATCCGTTTACAATTATGCCATTACGAAATGGGAGCGCATAGATGCAGGGTTCCGCGCATTGATATTCCACCTGCGTGAAAGAAGAACTTAAAACGCAAACAGGAAATATGTTAACTAGTTAGACTAACGCTAGAAGAAAACCAAAACTAAACGGAAATAACACAAAGATGACCTAGCTGTGCACCTCCGAGTTAGACCCGGTTAGAAAATCGACAGCAAAGGAAAAAGAAGTCGACTCAGCACTGACTTGGCTAACCGTAATATGCCCTCGGATTTACTTAGTTTAAAAATAAGCATTCGACAAGACGTGTTCCTGACAGTCATCCCTTCTTAAGTCAGGTAAAGACGGAAGAAATGGAAGGAGAGTGACGTGAAATATTAAGCTCAAGCAGCTTGTCATAACAAAGTAATGAAATAAGGACAAAAGGAATGAGATATCCTAGTTATTTGCTGGTAATAATCAGATATTCCAACTCATGAAGTCAATTTCTAGCATATGATAGAGGTCAAACCAGCTTGTAAAATGCAAACGATATTACTCTCTTGCAGATTGCGGTCCCAAAGTAGTTCCAGACCCCGATTGTCATATTTTTTATGGCATTCTATCACAAGCTTCGTATAGTAATGTCATGAAATCCGTGTCACACAGTTGTTTCGACTTCGAAGCATTGCAGCTAATGTTTCCACATAAGTAACCAAGGGGATCAATACATATGAATTGTCAAAATTTTCCCTTAGAATAATCACAATGAATACCGAAAACAAAAGCACCAACGGAAGAAACAGCCAATGATGAAGCCCGGATGCAAAGGCTAAACAAAACACGAATAATAAAATACCGAAGGTCCCTTTAAACAAAGTGTAGCAAGGCGTGAGGCTCGGCTAAATTATCAGCGCATGCTGTTAAATAACCTACGTGGAATGCTTGTGTGACTTTATAATAAGCTAGCCAAATTGATAACTATTAAAACTGCAGCCATATTTTGTACAATCACTTCCGAAATCACGGTTATTTCCTCGTATCATCAGCATTGCCATCAGCAGTTTTTCAAACTTGGCATAGAATATGACGAAAATGCACTGTGCATTTGAGTACTTCTCAAAGATTTGCTAGAGTAAAGTGATCTTAGTTTAGCAGTTTTTAACGAGGTTTGGCTAATTTGTTTGTGGCGTTTACTTCCTACAATTCGCATCTTATATTTCTGTCACGACTCTTTGGCGTGGCGAATTTCAATTAATGGAGTAACTTTTGATAGCCAGTGCTCTGATTAACTACCTTGTAACCACTTTAAGTGCTTCGATTCCTTAATTTATTAAAATTTCGCCATTTCTACTGACCAATCATTGTAAGCACTCTAGATCGTGTGGTAGAGTTGATCGCTTTCCTTGCGTTCTTTCGTCGTCACTATGTCCTGATTGTAAACTCTGCCAAAAAATGCCATTTCTTGATCGTCCAAATCAAGACCTTCCTATACCAACATTGGACAAACAACCTGTTAATGGCACCAAGTATGCAGCATCCTCAATCTGATGTTTTAGGCTTAACGTCCCCGTTCCTGCAGTGGCAAGACTAACAATCCCTGGCGTATGCACAGATTACGTAATTGTTAATTTTTGTGCATCCTAATTTATTCCAGCGTTTCACCGCAAACGATCTGCTCAATGAAGGTGAACTAGGTCATGGTAACTTTGCATTTGTTCAAAAGATGCGGCATCGAAAGCTTGATTGTTCAATGGCAGTAAAAGTTAATTATCACATCCCTTTAATCACGGTTCTTAGATTGTTCGATCAGTACTAAATGAACGTGAGAAGAACAAATCCCTCAAGGATCTGCACATCATTATGAAGTCAAAATTTGAACGGATTGTCACGTTTTATGGAGCCATCTTTCATGAGAGTGAATGCTGGATTTGCATGGAGTTGATGGACTCTTCTCTTGACAAATTTTACAAAATGGTCTATCTGGAGCGCAAATCATTTATTCCAGAGGCTGTGCTCGCAATGATTACCGTTGCTGTGATTTATCAGTTTCTTGTTCATCTATTTTGTCTGATATCTTGTAATGCATAAAGGCTGTTTTAAATTAATGCATTTCTTAGAAACAATACGTTCTCTGAGGCAGGTTGTTTGTAATTTGGGTAGATTGTCTCACTGTTTACATAGCTTATTGGCCAATTTCATGAAAAGATGGTATAGGTTATTTTTCAAATGCGAGACATTCGTTAAACGGCTTCATTTAATGAAACCGGGCGTTGTTATGATATGTGACTCCTATTAAGGCTGACATTTTTATTTTAGTTGGTAAATTTTGCCCAATTTGCATATATCTTTATTTCGCTTTTCAGATCGTATCTGCTTTGAACTACTTGAAATGTGAACTTCACGTTATGCATAGAGGTTAGCGATCATGCTAATACCATTGACTTGTTATTTCTATAATGTCGTATCCCAGGTCTTGAGAACGTGGTGTTATTGTAGTCGAATAACCTTAAAATATATTGAGTGAAAAAACCTAAACGAGCTTCTTCAATAATTACTATATTCCTCATGATTCTCAGCAGTCTGACTGACGTTCTTTTTGAATAGGCGTTGCGGAAATGATGGCGGATTGAAGGTAGTTTTTAATCAAATTAACCCAAACTTATCCTAACGTGCTGATTGCTCATAAATTTTACTGAATTTGCACATTGTTTTGTTTGCCGTGTCACCCGAATGATTCACTAGTGTAAACAAGCCATAAATTTGAGGATAACATGCATCTCTAGCAGACCTACAAAAGTGCTTGGCAGATCCAATGGGATAAATCACCTCTCTCTGCATTTGCAGATGTCAAACCCTCCAACGTGCTTATTAACAAAGGTGGGGATGTAAAGCTATGTGACTTTGGTATCTCTGGTGATCTCGTGAACAGCCTTGCCATGACCAAAGATGTCGGATGTAGACCCTACATGGCGGTGAGTTTTTGTCTTTACTAGATCTATTAGCATATCGGCATTTTTACATATTTCTTGACGCTGTTTGCGATGTAGGCAGTGCCTGTTATGTGGGCAAAATCGTTTTTTGCGTATTCTCTTGAGTACAATAATAACCCTGTACCCATATGATGACCTGAAATAAAAATTTATTTATTTGCAATTCAGTACGCAATATGTAGCCAACTCAAGTGGACCCATTTTTAAAAAGGGATGACCTTGGTGTGAAGTGTGCGCTCCCCTTCCACCCTTTTAGCCAGAACGCATAAACCCAGACCTCATGTCCCATGGCTACGACGTGCGCTCCGATGTGTGGAGTCTGGGCATTAGTCTGGTTGAGCTGGCTACCGGTCGGTTTCCCTATCCTTCATGGCGGTCACCCTTTCACCAACTCCAGTCCGTGCTGCAGTCGCCTTCGCCACAGCTTCCGCCCGATGAGGAGGTCTCCGTACCGTTCTCGGCAGCAATGCGCGAATTCGTTGACGCCTGTCTTCAGAAGGACCTCAAGAAGCGACCAAAATATGCCGCTCTTATGGTATTTCTCAATCTCACTTTCTATTGCTGCGAAGCTTTTTCCACCTTGTGGATGTTCTGTGGCGACTCAGCATCCACGTTTTTTCAAAGTAAACTTAGTTTGAAATCTTTTCTCCAACAGGAACTGCCATGGTACGTGGAAGCAACGTCATCGAGGGTGGATTTGGGTGCCTACTTTACAACCATCCTGGAATCTGCCCCTGAACCTGCCCTATAATAAGAGTACCCCACTTCTAACTTATTATTTCTTGCTTACGCCTTATGCTGCGTATATATAAATATGAAACCAATATATTTTGTGCTCTGTACATGTCTTTGATTTTTGTCCAAGTTGGAGACAGAAATGTTGCTGAACATTTAATGGCCATTGAAGACTGTTTTCCATATTACTTGAAGTAGCTGAAGTGCTTTGTCATTATGATCAGAATGGAGACATTATATCACGACGTAGGTTATTAGAGGGCATCAGAGTGGGATGTTCAACTGTTACAATGGTTTTTCGTAGTCAAACTACTCGAAGGTGTCGGCAACTAATTTGACACTAGGAGTGGATGTAAGGCATAGTGGGTAAAATGGTTTGAAAAAGTGTCAATTTTTCTCCGTTTTTTGACCATTACGCATGAAAAATGGGTCATTTAGAACGAATTTTTCCACCATCATGTCTCTTTGGCTGTTATTTTAAAAATTCATAGTTTTACAAATTTATTGTAAAATATTTAGAAGAATTCAGACCGGTCAAGGAATCCAGATTTGCGAGTTCAAAATACGTGAAGGAGAAGGCAACTACCCGATAACATTTGATCTGTACTTTACGCCGAATTAGCATTTAGCTTATCTATAGTGTTACTTCGCCACAAATATGTCTGGAAAACAAATTTTTGACTCTCGATAGCTGATGATTTATCTTGGATTTCTTTAATTTCAGTCCTAGCTTTTCCCTTCCTTTTTAGTGGGAGTATTTCCGACAGGAGCCAAAAGACTTTGTCCAAACTTGCGCGTAGTACCCAGGGTCTTCACTTAAGGCAACGTGGGATATTAATATGGAGGTTTATAGTTTAATGCACGAAGGTGTTGTTATGGCCACAAAAATGGTGGCCAAATCAAAGACGACCGTGGAAACTGTGGTGCAAAGTGCGTTCAACTACCGGTTCACTACACAGCCTCCTTCTTCTTCTTCTGCTCCTCGATTCTGACTCTCCCTTTGATCTCTCTCCCGCTTTAACCTTAATGAGTAGGAATGAAGACGATATGTCGAATTCACGCAAGAAGGAGAAGGTCACCATTTAGTGGTGGCGCATACTGTGAATGTGGTTGGAATTCATGAATGTCGCCTCGCTTACAAATCCAACTCCATGGAGAAACGTGTATCTTGAAGGGAAGTTTCAAACACTATGCAATGCTCCGCAGAGAGTGGATCATTCATCCTCAGCATCTTTTTGCAGTATCATTTTCCTAAATTACGATAGGAAATTGGGCTATCATGCTCCCACCCATTGTGTGCGGAGACAGATAGGGAGCACTTTTGAAGGCTGCTTTGTTTCATTGAAATTCAGTATTACTCATTTAATGATAAATTTGCAGAAACCGTGTCAATCTCTTTGTAATGCGCTTTTGCAAATTCCGGCATTCATAGTAGAAGTCCTCTTTTTGTAAAGACGAAGTTCGACAGCAAGCCAACAATAGCAGAACTGATTATCATTATACCCAAATTTGACTACAGATGACATCAACGTAGCACGGAAGTGATTCAGGATAGGGGAAATTTAGCATATGTGACAAGAGTATGACAACATAAGATATGGGGACTGAAGAGTTCGTGTAGCCACGTTTACGGCAGATCCGGCATCAACCTCTAGAGGGCGACTGCGATTAGTGGTGTAAGGAATATAAGCGCCTCTGATAGGTTTGGGAGCTATTAAGCCCAAGTAAGCTCAAGTCAGTTAGCATTGTTCTTAAGTGTACAATGCATTAGATCTTAAAATATGATTTCTTACAACATTTTCAGCTGATGTTGTAATGACAACTCACCGCTGTTGAATAACATGGTTACATCAACACGGAGTTAGCAGTACTCCAAAGAAGATCAGCTAAATTTGACTTTTAATTCCCAAGTCTGTGTTCTCCACAGCTCCTTTGCCCTTTTAAAGAAAAAGGCTACGTGCATATAATACTTTGATTGCTTGTCTAACTCTTGGTTTTGGTAACAGATCATTCGGGGACTTCGCCGTTTCATCTCCCCCGGGCAAGCGGGCCTCTGGACAATACCAGTAGCCCCATCCCTTCTGCATGTCGACAGTCCTCGACATTGTCGAGTATTATGAGTATTATGTCTTTTATGGCAGTGGAAAGCTAACCCTATCCTAAAGGACAACTTCACCTTAGCGTTACCGAAAAAGCGCATATGATGCGTGTGGGGGAATGTGTTGCAACGCCTGGTAGAAGGCTTGAAAGTGCTGTCTACTTTTTGGCACTCACCTCAGTCCCGTGTTCGGCAGGGATGATATTAGCAACTGAAGCAACACTAGTCATGGCAGTGAGCTACCTGAAAATGTTCATTACGGAGGTGACTACGGTAAATGCATAGGGATAGTAAAGATGTGAACACCCCATGCCTCCTCCATCTCTCCACTAGATGGACAGAACCCGGATGGATATGGCTGAGCAGCCCTGACGTGAGAACAAAGTGGCAAGGAGGAATAGATTCGAACCCTCACCCCCAATGGAACTATGGTAAACTTCTTCCTTTTAGGCCAGTATGCGCTACAACCAGGACATTCCCTCCTATCTCCATGACAGTTACCATACAGGACGAAACTTCAGACCCAGTAGAATTCCGAAGAGAAAACAGTAGAGGTGTGATCATGCATCTTCTCGGATGCATGGACATTCGACGACTGGTACGGTTAGTTCGTGGGTGATCTTGCAGCACCGCTTATGTTGTGATGGCTGACGCGGAAGGCTGACCAAGAGCAATTGCGGGGACGATGCTCATATAGGAAGGTGCTGTGTGATGCCGTGTCTATTTTTTTTTTGACTCTCGGTTTTAATAACGGGCCACTTGGGGACTCCGAAATTGTACATCCTCTGGACCACGCCAATGGCCCCAATCCCTTCTATACGTCGACTTCCTTTTCTGGGGGGAAGTCTTGGTGCGCTGTGTATGAATCATGTTAAGTACTGATTGAGGGTGTTCTAGTTTGAAGTGCTATGAAATTTTTGTTCGTTTTTTCCATTAGCCTAATCTTTTTCGGCCGAACCGAATAATTGTTAAAAAGAAGCCAGTTATACGTAAGAATTGCTAATAATTACAAAGAAATAGAGGAATATGGCCCAAAGCTTCTTAAATACACTCTTATTATTTTTATTACATTCTGGGTTACCATAACTGATTCCAACACGTACGATTTGTGTTAATTCATTAAACGCTTTTCTTTACATGTTTGTATAATCATTTGCTATTTTAATTAACTGTATAAGTTGCACTTCCGCTCTGCAGCATGGCCCTCTGACTACGGCTGTAGCCGCCCGGCCCTTTTGTATGTTAGTGATAAATCATCCACCGTACTGGTTTGGATTTTTACGGCTTCAGCAAAAGCTCGAAGCGCTAATATTTACTATAGGCACAACCAGAGGACTATGCTAGATGAGCAGATGTACAAGTTACGAGCTTCTTGAGCCCGTGTGAACACTCCGCTTAAAAAGAAGTCGAAACACTACGATATTTTTGGCCTTCTTGAGTCCCAACTGATACACATGCTCAACCCCTAAACAGAAAGACTATTGCTAGACTGCTTAACTGAAACCAAGCCTAGAACGAATAAGCGTTCTGCACGGTAAAAAGACATTTTAAAGACTGAAATTTCAAACCGCGGATTTGGACACTTCAGTGCCATATATATTGGGACAAGCCTTAACCCTATCGTATGTTAAGGGGGATTATTGGGATATAAAAATAACTTATATTGCTTGGGAGGGCGTCAAAATAGTTCCAAGCGTTTTCTTTCTCTGCTATGGCACGACTGATTCCGTATTCACTGGTCTTAACTTCCCCATTGTTTATGTGTGACACAATGGATAAACATTGCATGTATTTATGCATCAACTTGGATGTTAGTAGTCCTTATATATTAGATCCTTTAAAAATTATTTATTCGAGTGAAAAATTTCTTTACCAAATTTAAGTGCTTTTGAAATAAAATTGGCCTCTTAAAATGTACAATGGAGAGTAATATGGGGAAATATAGATATGCAAAGGCCAGTGGAGCGAGTGCCATATCAGCCACCCTACGTAGTTGTCTAAGCAACCGCAGCACTTAAGTACTGTTGTAATATATCTTGCTGTTCAGAATTGCCTCTGTTTTATTATTAGTGCTGTTCATGACCCACCCGGTCATTAAACGCCTGTGCTAGTCATCGCATTCCAGTGGGCTGAAAAGAAACCTCACAGAAGAAATAAATGGAAATGGTCAACATCGTGATGGCTCCGCATTTCAGGAGTAGAGGTGCGCCCTACGGATTTGGACAAAATTTCGACACCACATTCCCTCATAGACAAAATCACCTGGAATTGGGATGAATGGCAGATTCCTTTATTTTGAGCTCGACACTATGGTTAGTTCTGAAATTAAACCTACACTAAGGGAAGACCTATGAGACTCCGAGATTAACCAAAAATATTCGGTGAGTATTAAAAGATTAGCAAAAGGCAAAAAGGAAAAGAAATCAAGACTTCTTTACCCCGTTTTATAATCGAGATCTCGGAAAGTCTAAAGTAATTTAAGGAGGGCCATTTTGGGCTATTTTTTGTTTCTATTAGCTGAACAAAAATGAGACAGACGACGATGCAGTATTGAGATGAAAACTTTGCACCAAATAGGCCTGGATGCATAAAATTAGCTCCGTGAAAGGATTCTGCTGTAATCTAAATGATTCTACGAATAGTAATTAGCATACGAAGTGCAGTTGCTGCGACATGTTGGACTCCATCTAGTATTACAAAACGCATGTCTGTCATGCAGTCTACAGAGAGGACCTAAATATGTGTCCATCGAGTGTAATGGTGGATGCAGGTGACTTCGAGCCTTAGTAGATGCAAACTTACGACCTCCATTCAGGGCTCGTGACTGGGTAGTGTAGCACCGCCAACACTGTGATGAATGGGGCACCAGAATGACCACTAGAAAAGCCTAAAACAAGACACACAATAAAGGAATGTTG